AACCATGATCTGGAATTAGAATCATAGCAAAAGGACGTATACAGAATACTTTAGAAATAGTCCAGAAGAGGATTTAGTGAAGATTAAACACTTCAGATGCTTTGGTGTATGGATCAATTATATCAAATTGTTTATTTTATTTCGTTTATTGATTAATTCATTTCCTAGGGCACATTCTGAGGAAAGAAAGCTTGGAAAATTTGATACTCAAATGATAGACTGAAGGTAAGAAACACCGAGTAAACATCGCAAACCCTACCTAGCGAACTTGAGAAAATGAATGGCGGAACAAGGTCTAAGAAAGATAACAAAAATGAGAACATTTATTAAGAGCTACAAAAGACGGGAAATTGTGATTTGATTCGTTTCTTACGGATTATCAACCCATTGCAGACGCGTCGATCACTGAATGTTCGTCACACATAGTTGTACGTGAAATACCTGGTAGATCAACTGTTGTTGCAATTTTGAGTGCACTAGTTCAAATACAGTTATGAGAGCGTAACTATCTACACGGTGGAGTAATGGATAGCGGCTTGGGTTGAGAAATCGAGACCGATTTCCAGTCAACTTCATTACATTCATTTATGTCCTAATGCCTCTCTTCTGTGACATCTATGGACAAAGTAGCAGGGCGGATTGGGTCCTATAGCCTTGGGTGGAAACCGGTCTAGAAGAAGGACAACTCTGAATTCAAATCGAAACCAACCTTTTAAGTTTTGCTTCGTAGTTTCTGCCTCTTTAGGCAAAGGCGAGGAGAAGGTAACTTAAAAACAAATCCATTTCTCATGTTGCCTCGAATGAAGGAACTACCTTCACCTTATTTCGAGCTGTGACGAAAAATAATGGACTCCTCGTTTTTATTGCAATTATTTTGGACTATTCGACCATGAGGGTATCAACCACAGCACTTTAGATGGTGAAATATCTATTCAGTTACATGAACTATTCAAACACATGAGTGTGTCACAATGTATTGAAATTATGGCCGTGTATAAGTACTTATATATTGTATTCTTCTAACAAAAACACGAGTTATAATCTATCACTTATATGTAACAGTAAACTACGTTGAATGCAATAGGCGTGTGGCCCTGGTGCTCGCTCCGGACTTGCAACCCACATTCACGTAAAAGACTTTCCTTTCTTTTCTCCCAGTTCGGTGTTATATATATATATATATATATATATATATATATATATATATATATATATTTTCATTGAAAACAACAGACAAGGTGCTTTTTATTTAGTTTTTTCTACAATTTCTCATACGATCTAATATTTCTTTTCTTTTCGGATGATAAATTATATAAAAACTGTCCGAATGTTCTTTTTATCCGGGCGATTTCGGCTATACATTTAGCCATTTTCAAGGATTATATTTTAACTGTTGAAATAAGAAATAGTTTATAAATATAATCCTGAAAAATGGCTAAATGTATAGCCAAAGCGCTCGGATAAAAAGAACATTCAGACAGTTTTTATCACGCGAAAAGAAAAAATAATTAGATCGCATGAGAAATTGTATTAAAAAAAAACTAAATAAAAGCACCTTTGTCTGTATTTTTCAATGAAATGTTCATGAAAAAGAAGGATTGCTGCCTAAATACACACATATGTACATATATATATATATATATATATATATATATATATATATATATATATATATATATATGTGTGTGTGTGTGTGTGTGTGTGTGTGTGTGTGTGTGTGTGTGTGTGTGTACCTCTCGTATATTTTTCTATCCGCGCATGCACATTCTAGGCGCAGCTGATTCGATTACATGTTTCTAACTGTTGTTGACAACAACTGACATAATGTGAGGCGTGCATCTGCACTTGATGTCTTGGAGTCTACCTTTCAGCTCAATCCACTATTGCACTCGACTTCTTTGACGAAATAGTGAGTACAAAACAAATTTCTGACATAACCTGTTATCAGTCACATACTACTCATACACAATTACACACACATAATATCATGTGCCTGGCTCAATATGTGAAATCATGAGAATGAATGAAAATTTTAACGTATTTACTAAACTTTTCTCCTCATAGCACAGTTTAAATAAAAAGGTACTATTTGAAATGATTTTGTTATTTAAAAATAAAAAATAATACGACTTTAGCAGAAGCTATCTCAAGTAACAAAAAACTGAATGTTGTGGAGGGCCATAATCACCCACGCCCTAATCGTAATAGTAACATTTGTCTCTTGGTGTCACGTATAGACCTGATTACATTTTAGCAGAAGCTGAAAGAAATAGTAAAACTCGAAGTCTATAGAATAAAATAAGTGTTTATTGGAAAATGAACAGCCATCTATGAGCGTGTTTTCTGTTATCTATCCCCCGTCCGTCTCTTTGTTCCCACCACTCTCTCCCTCTCTCTCTCTCTCTCTCTCTCTCTCTCTCTCTCTCTCTCTCTCAAAGTAAATATTCTTTCAAGAATATTGGACTTCCCTTCGCTGACCGGCGTCGGCAGGTCTCAATGAATGAGATGATAATTCAAGGCGATGGTTGTATTCAGGATAATATATGAATTTGGCACAACGCCAAAAGGGGAAAAGCAAGACTAGTCTTTTGAAAGATATGAACTCTAAACTACATATAACTAATTCCATTCACCAACTCATTCACATTGAATCTTTCCTTTCACACAAGTAATTCTTTTTTTTTTAATATTTTCACTAACACATTGACACTATGGACGCTAATTTACTGATAAATTAATATTAGAGGAGGGAAAAACATTGAAGATGGCGGTGGATATGTTTCAATTTAATATAATTACAACACAATTTTGATTACCAAGCGAGTGTCAGTTTAAAATATAACCTACTTTTATCTCGTATATTATAATCACTTTGTTTAAAGGTCATGCTTTCTTGAAATCAGATGAAAACAGAAGACTTTTCCGGTATATTTCTTTGAAATTTTTACTTTTCAAAATTCTAGTTTATATAGTTTAGATATATTGAACAAAAAAAGCAACTGAGGCCAGGAGGTTGTAGGTGAAAGAAAGAAAGAAAGAAAGAAAGAAAGAAAAAAAGAAAGAAAAATGGAAGAACAAACGAAAGAACGAAAAGAAAGACAGAGAAATAATTAATATCCTCCTGACGTCATTTTAATTTGACGCCATCTTCTTTTCTGTATATTGCAACCATCTTTCTCAAACTTAGTACTTACTCGCTTTCCTATGGAAACAGAGGAAACAAAATATTTCATTGAAATTGTTTTTTTGTTTTTTTTTTCCAGAATTGTGGTTTATAATTATTTAGATATATGGAAAAGATGAATACGCTAGGTGAAACTGACGCCAGGTGAATGTGTGTTAAAGAAAGAAAGGCGCGCGCACACACACACACACACAGGCACACATAGATGCACACAGAGACACACACACTTATATAAATGATTAACCCATATTATCTTGGCGTCAATTTAAATTAACGTCTTGTTTTTATGCATATACTATTATCATTTTTTCTTAAAGTTCGCATTCTTGATTTCAGAAGAAAACAAGGACATCTTTCAATATATTTCACTGGAATTTTCACTTTCCAAAGATATACTTTATAATTATATTGTTAAATATATGAAAAAAAAGCAGACAACAGTTTCAACTGATGCCGAGTAGATGTGGGCTAAAGAAAGAAAGAAAGAAAGAAAGAAAGAAAGAAAGAAAGAAAGAAAGAAAGAAAGAAAGAAAGAAATGAAGGACGTTAGGAGAGAAGAAAGAAAGAGAGAAAGAAAGAAAGAAAGAAAGAAAGAAAGAAAGAAAGAAAGAAAGAAAGAAAAAAGAAGGAAGAAAGAAAGAAAGAAAGAAAGGAGAGAAGAAAGGACTAAAGAAATAAAGGAAGGAAGACAAAGAAAGAAAGAAAGAAAGAAAGAAAGAAAGAAAGAAAGAGAATAAGGAAAGTAGAAAAGATGAAAGAGAGAAAACAGAATGGGTGTTATAAATAAATAAATAATAGAACTATAGCTATATAAATGGTTTACAAATATCCAACACCTGACGTCAGTTTAAACTGACGCCTTTTTCCCTATTTTGTTATAATTTTGATTTAAGTGCCCTTTCTCTTGATTTTACATTAAAATATGGAAATTTTCGGACATATATCATCGAGATGTTCACTTTCTAAAATTTGAGTTTATAATTCTAGATGCGAAATATGGAAGCAGAATTTGAATACGGCTTAAACTAATCTGCTTGCCTTCTTAAACTTACCTTCCCTCAAATACGCAATGAAGAAATCTATTTGAACCTAAATTCTGTCTGAAATTCAAGAATGAAGATTTATCAATATTTACACTATTTATATTCAGACTGTTGTCCTCATCTTTGTTGTTGCTGTCACAACGTTTCGACCATTGTCTCTCAGAACTTCTTCAGGTGTATACTGATCTGGCTAACCTACAGAGCTGAGCCCTTTATTTAATCTGCTGGAGTAAATATTTCTTGTTCCCCTGCCAATATCTAGGGATATCGTGTCTAGTTCTTAGTTATCTACATATGGGCAGTGGAACGAGAAGTCTACCCCGTAGTTTAAATAAAGGGTTCAGTTCGGTATTCACTTCTAAGTCACCCAGATAAAGAAGATCGGAGAGCAAAACTACCGAAACGTTGTGATAACAACAGAGGTGGAGACAATAGTCTGAATATAGTGTCACTATTGGAACCTGTAAAAGGCGATTGTCATTTAGCGGCGAAGAATTAAGCAAAAAGGTTTTGTATCAGTTTATACCATAAGATCCAAAGTATGGGGAAAATCAAGAGGTAGACCAGGAAGAAACTTTATCTACCAACTCATGGATGACACCGGCCACAGAAAGGAAGAACTGGATAGAGCTATTGATGAGGGAAATGGTTGGAAAGAAGTGGTTAGAAGTGTTCTTTTGAGGACGATCTGTTAGATAGATCTTCATAACTCATCTAGCAGACGCTATAATGTCAATACTAAATAAACGTTTTGATGCAAAAATAGCCGTTTAAAATTTGAATTTTGATTGTCTGGGTAATATCTATAAAAGAGTTCAAAGTTGCAAGGCTTTTTATCTTCTTTTTATTTTAAATCATTAACAGTGCTATTAAAAAGAAACTTTTAGTGTTCATTTCGAATTATTAGCCAGAAAATTCAAATACTGAAAGTTCAAAGCTTAACTGGTCCATACTTCTTTTGGTGTACGATACAGGTTTCAACATAAATTTCCTGTATACTCGCCGTTATATGTAGATGTAAACCAGGATTTTTAAAAACTAAAATTCATAATTTTTTACACTATTTAGATTCGAACTATTATCCTCATCTTTGTTTAAACCAAGGATTATGTTGTTCATGATGACGGTCGTCTTCGAGTATAGAATCCAGAGGTTAGCAGTGAATATTTCGAAGACAGTAGGGAAGCGTTGTTCAGGTTAGCAGTGGATATTTTGGTAAAAGTAGCAGAGCGTAGTTCGTCCTTCTGTTCCTCTTCGCCTGACAAGTTGGACTGGACATTCGGATAGAGTAGACAAAATGGCCGCCTTTATACCTGACGGATTGAATGTTCTACGTCTTCTGATTGGTTAACCTTCTATTGGTGGACTATAAAGTGAGTCAAGGCATTTGGGCTAACTCACTAGTTACATATATATATACACAAAAAACTGCAACAGATTAAACCCACAATTACTATTTCAGGAATAAACGATTTAATCCATTCGACTATTATTACGTTTGTTCATGAAGTTGAAGATGTTGGGCGGGGAAGTGTGTGAGCAGAAAAAAGACAAGCAATAATTTGGCAATGTTTTATAGTCTTCTTCTTCTGGGGTTCTCTTGGGCAACGGGGTCAATCATAATAAAGTTGTCTCCCCTCTTACTTCTCTCAGCCGGGTGATCGCTAATTGGTTTGTTCGGAGGTAAAATGAGAACTTCAAGAAAAGGGGTTTTAATTTACTACTTTTTAGAACACCACAACGTGTACATCTTTAACTAGCCAGTGGGGGTCGCTCTATCAAACCCACTGCAGAGCAAGTTCTCCGGGACACAAAAATAACACGTCTGCATTCTTCGACGCATAAAACCTAACTCTACAAAATAACTTTCATTTCGCTAATGTTCCAACGTTCGGCTCAGCTGATCAAAATCGAGATCCCTATTTTGCCTACCAGCTGACCCCAAAGTCAACCTCAGAATGTCTAAGCCAAATACACTGCCACTAAAAAATAATTGCCTGAAACTATTTTTAACACTCAGTGCTAAAAATAAGTATATGTGATATCACTAGACATGGGCAGTGGAAAAGGAACAGTCTACGCTTGTTAATTAAATAAAGGGCTCACTTAGGAATTCTCTATTTACAATATTTATATTGTCCAGACCATTGTCCTCATCTTTACTGTCACATTGAGAAAAATATGGAAGGTTTCATGAATTTGCGTGTCACTCAATTCGGCAGTACATATACTAAAACTGGAATGACTCAGGGGTGATTAGCAACGGTGACACGCAAATTTGGGAAGCGGTCCATATTTTTTATCAATAAACAAAAGTCCGAAATATGGGAATAGTGTAAATGGTTACAATGCCTCCTCTCAAAAATATAGACAGATCCTGAAAAATGCCGGAACGTATAACGACCGAAACGTCGTGAATATGACATTAAAGATGAGGACAATAGTCTGAAAAATGTAAATAGTGTAAATGGTTAAAATACCTCCTCTCAGAAATATAGACAAATCTTGAAGAAGGCCGGAGCATATAATGACCGAAACGTCGTGAATGGGACAGTAAAGATGAGGACAATAGTGTGACCAATGTAAATAGTGTAAAAGGCCACAGTACTTCATTTAAAAAATATACACTGATCCTGAAGAGGGCCGGAGTGTATAACAGCCGAAAAGTCGTGAATGTGACAGTAAAGATGAGAAAAACAGTTGGACCAATTAAAATAGTGCAAATTGTTTCAATACATCCTGTCAGAAATATAGACTGGTTCTGAAGAAGGCCGGAGCGTATAACGGTGGAAACGTCGTGAATGTGACAATAAAGATCAGGACAACAGTCCGACCAATGTAAATAATGTAAATAGTTACAATACCTAATCTCAGAAATATAGACAGAACCTGAAGAAGGCCACAGCGTACAACGGCTGAAATGATGTGAATGTGACAGTAAAGATGAGGACAACAGTCCGAACAATGTAAATAGTGTAAATATTTTCAATACATCCTCTCAGAAATATAGACTGATCCTGAAGAAGGTCGGGGATTATAACGGTGGAAAAGTCGTGAATGTGGCAATAAAGATGAGGACAACAGTCCGACCAATGTAATTAGTGTAAACAGTTACAATACCTAATCTCAGAAATATAGACAGATGTAGCAATTCTTTATAGGTTACTCGAATCGATATTCACCTGATGATCGTCGGATGGTACAACGACCGAAACGTCGTGAGAACAATAGCAAAAATGTAGACAATATTCCATATGTAAATAGTGTACATCA